GAAGTAATTTCCCCTAGGTCTCCCAGCACCTAAGTGACTCTGCAGAGATTTTCCACACAGCTGTGCCCAACTTCAAAGCCCCTGCTCCATCCTGTTCAGGATGGAAATTCAGCCTCTGTTCTTGCCTCCCTGCTGGCTCCAAGTCTGGATCCTGACTCTGTCTGGGAGCTCTCCATGTGAGGTTGTCCTCCCCACCCCCCACAAATGCCACAGCCCGAGGTCATCTAAGCAGTAGGACTGGCCACAGAATAGAAATTTTGTTCTCCAGAGAGGAGGCAGAAAGGCCCACTTTCCTCCTTTAGTTTAGTGACATCCTGCTGGAAATATCAACTCTTTTAAGAGAAGCTTCCCACAATCTCGAAGGCTGCTCCTTGACTGTCAGCTCTGTTCAAGAACATTCTAAATTTTATCTCTATGTTTCATCTGTTACAAATGACTCCCTTCTCCCTCTACTGGGGAATGGATAAACAAGCCATTGTACATCCAGACAATGGAAGAGCGCTCAGCAGTAAAAAGGAAGGAGCCATCAGAGCACAGTGACAACACAGATGGACCTCACATGCATGATGCCGAGTGAAAAAAAACCAAACTCAGAAGGCGATGCAGAAAAAAAAAGAGGATGGAAGGGTTGAGGCTAATCGCCAAGAACAGTAATGAGTGATTTAGGAAGGCCCATTTTCTCCTTGTATAAAACAAGTTTGTCTTTTTTTTTTAAGATTTTATTTATTCATGAGAAAGACAGAGAGAGAGAGAGAGAGAGAGAGAGGCAGAGACATAGGCAGAAGGAGAAGCAGGCTCCCTGAGAGGCTCTCGATGCGAGACTCGATCCCAGGACCCTGGGATCACAACCTGAGCTGAAGGCAGATGCTCAGCTACCAAGCCACCCAGGCGTCCCTAAAACAAGTTTGTCTTAGATGCACTTTAAGTAGACCTAAGTCAATCCCTGCTTGGCATTCAGAGCAGTTTCTTTCCACCTGAGAATGCACTTTGACTTCATCGTGTAAGTACTTTTTAGACAAAAAACAAAAACACTGAAGGCCACCCATGCGACTCCATTTACACGACATTCTAGAAAGGCAAAGCTGTAGGGGCAGAGAACTGAGCAGCTGTTATGCACCTGGGGATGGGTATTGGGTACCCGGGGCATGGGGGCATTTGGGATGGATGAAGGATCTGTTCTTTATCTTCATTGTTGGGGGTGGTTACACAGCAGTCTACATTTGCCCAAACTCATAAAACTGGATAGAAAAAAATATATATATATATACTGTATGTAAATACAAAGGAAAGTGAAAACCTAAATAAAACAATTCATTGTCCTCTTAAAAAATGTCTGCCTAGAGGCTATGAAGAAAGAAAGTAGGCCACAAGGAGGTAAAGAAAAAGTTCTTAGTTCTGGAGGGTTGTGGGAACTCTGTTTCTTGGGTGTTTGCCCCCGGTCCTGGGGCCTTGTCTCCTGGCTTTTTTTTTCTGCCCGCCTTTCTGCTGTTCAGTGGCTGCAGCACGGGGCGAGACAAGGAGGGTTTTGTGGAACCCAGAAACAAAGAACTGCCCATCGAAGGTTGCCACGGCAATGCAACATCACCCTTGGACCCGTGAGGCTGGCATCATGGGTGGCTTATTGCTATTTGTTAAGGGAGCAGAAGAGAGGGTGGCTGGGCTGTGCCTGGTGGCAGGTGGACGAGAACTCCCTCAGCCCCAGACTCAGTTTCCCATTTTGGACAAAGGCATCAGCTGTGTCCTTGCATGGTTGGCCTCTGCCCCACCCCATTGGCACAGCCCCCTTTGGGGCTTTTGGGCAGGAGCTATCAAAATTAACACTGTGCATAACTTTGTTAGTGTCTTCAGGGCTCTAGTCACACACGACCATGAACTTTGTGACTTAAAACAACCAACATTTGGGGATGCCTGGGTGGCTCAGTGGTTGAGCATTTGGCTTCAGCTCAAGTCGTGATCCCTGAGCTCAGGGATCGAGTCCCACATCAGGCTCCCCAGAGGGAGCCTGCTTCTCCCTCTGCCTATGTCTCTGCCTCTCTCTCTGTATCTCTTGTGAATAAATAAATAAAATCTTAAAAAAACCCTCAAAAACCAAACCCCTCCCAAACATTTGGCCTCCCAGTTCTGGAGGCCAAAAGTCCAATACTGAGGTGTCTGCAGGGTTGGTTTCCTTCCGGAGGCTCTAAAGAAGCTTCTGTGTCTGTCTCCCAGCCTCTGGGGGTTTTGGCATCAGGGGCTTCAACTCTGTGTCTCTCCTTATCCCATAAGCACCCTCATCGTCGTAGCGGGTTAGGGCCTCACCCTCCTCTTAACTGATGACATCTGCAGATGTTCTGTTTCCAGATGAGGCCACTTTCTGAGTACTGGGGGCTAGGACACCAACATAAGCATTTAGGGAAGACACAACTCAGCCCAGAGCACTGCTTCTGTTGTTGTATTGTTATTTATTAAGCCACTCTTGGCCACAGACAGCTTCTTCCTGGAGAAGGTGAGCTGTTGGGCTGGTTGTCTTGGGAGGAGGTAGAGGAGGCTGTGCTTTTGTGCGGTCCTCAGCTCCAGGGCTGGGTCCTCCCTTTTCTCTGTGACCCAAAGCCCAGCGTTGAGCCCGCCCCTCCACAGGTGTCGAACTCTGCAGAGATTGGAGCACTGAGGTCCAACCTGCTCTGCTCAGACACCCAGCCCTGGGACTTGCTGCCCAAGGGTCTTAGTTCTCTCATCTGTGTAATGGGCTCAGCATGACCCTGCCCTGGTCACAGGTGGAGTGACTGCTGCATGCAGGCAGAGAGTGGCTGCCAGCAGGTGCCAGCAGACTTGTCTAGGTGCCAAGGGGCCAGTGTAGGAAAACCAGACCCTGGGAGAGCCAGGGCAGGTGGCAGTGTCAGCGCCTGGCAGACAGCCCCACCCTCCGGCCTTGACTGCCCTGCACACACTGGGCGGCTTGCCCAATGCTTTGTACAGTCCCTTCTGCTGGTCCCTAGGCCAGAATCACCCTTTCACCTCTCTTTTCACCTTGTGCACTCATTTATCCCTTGACAATCTGTTTGCTGGTGCCCACTGTGGAGTCAGGTGCTATGCCAGGCACCCAGGCATCTTGGTGTACCTGTGTGCCCTGGGAAGCCTGTCCCCTCTTGGAAGCCTTCACACTACGCTGTCTCTTTTCTCAACTCCAGCACATAGTAGATGTTTTCAAAGGTTTCCCAAAGGGATGAGGAGTACTAATCACATGGCATTGGGATTTCTGCTTGCATCTAAAGCCTTCTGGACTATGAGCTCCTCGAGGGCAAGGCCAGGTCATCCCAACCCATTGACCCTGGTTCTCAGTGTAACACTGGTATATAGAAAGTACTTAACAAATGCTCTATGAACTCTATAGTGTGGATCCAGCATAGAGAAAGTGCTGACAAATCCTCAGTGAAGTACACTTAACATGGGTCCAGCATACAGAGGTGCTCCATGAATGCTTTGTGACCTTCATTGGCACAGATTCAGCACACAGAAGGTACTCAGTGAATGCTCTGTGATCTATACTGGTGTGGTACTGCTGGGTAAATTCTCCGTGAACTGTACCAGCGTGACACCAGCATCCAGAAGCTCAGCATATACTCAGTGGTCTGCACGTGGCATGGACCCAGCATATGGAAGGTGCTTTAGTAGATACTCTGTGACCTGTACTGCATTGAGCCCTTTATTCTGAACCATGTGCCTATCCCTTATTTTTATGGGCCTTCATAATACTAATTGGGGTCTTCGAGGGAACGTTTTTGGTGTTTCCATGGAGTTTAACCCCATCTGGTGGATGATGGTCAGCACGGTCCAAGGTGAACAGGTGAGCTGCCCATTGGGCCAAGGAGAGGACCCCTGCCAAGCTGGCCCTGCTTGCTGGCCAGGTGCTTGCAGACCTCACCCCCAGCTCTCTGACTCCCCTTCCCCACCCTGTCAGGCCTGCCTTCCCAGCCTGACTTGAAAACCACTGCCCAGAGTCACACCAGCCAGGCACAGACTGAGTGCCATACCACCTGGGGGTGTTGCTTCATATACTCTACACGATGGTTTCCCCTCGGTAAAATGAGTGAGGCAAGAGATCTGTGTGCTTTCGGAGCTCCAGTGCGGATCAAAGGAGAGACTGGAGGAAATGAACGAGGCATGGACTCCAGAACACTAGGAATGCATATTGCTTAAGATAAAGTCAACTGGCATTTCCACATGTGGATCTACGCCCAGCAGAAATGAGTGCAGATGGTCACCAGAGATGTGCACACGAGTGCTTACAGAGTTCTCCATGATGGCCCCAGACTGGAATATCCACCTCCAGTAGATACATAAATTGTGGATGGACTTCTGTACAGCGATGAAAACAGCCAATCATTATATCCAACAACATGAATGAATCGCGCAAAAGTCACGTGGAACCAAAGAAGCCAGACAAAAGAGGGTTTGTGCTGTGTGATCCCATTGATGGGAAGTTCAAGAATAGGCCAAAGTAATCTGATGACAATGTCAGAGGGTGGTTTCCCTGAGGGAAAAGTCCCTGGGAGGGGGTATAAGGGCACTTTCTGGGGGGCGGGAAATGAGCTCAGGCTCCTTATGGGTGGTGGTTATGGGGGTGGGTGCACAAGGAAGAGTTGGTCAGGCTGTACCCTTGGGGAGCTGTACTGTGCGTCAGTTGGACGGAAGGAAAATGAGAAGCAGAAAATGGAGAGAATGCTGTATTTAGCAAAGTTTTGTAAAAAATACCACATTGGGGATTAGGCACAAAATAAATATTGGCTAGTCCAAAAACAGTGTAATAGAAAGGGGGGAGGGAAGATGGGGAGAGAAAAGGGAAGGAGGGAGAGGAGGAGTAGGGGAAGGAGAAGGGAGAGGGGGAGGGGGGGAGGAATCCTTCCCCCCAGCACCCCCTCAACCCGGGAGGGATCTGATCTTCAGGTCTCCTGGGAATCTTGTGACCAGAGCTGCTCCAGGCTTCCTGGGCCAGCCTCCAGGAATTATACCTCTCATTCCAGGTTCATGAACCACCGAGTCCCCGCCCACAAGAGGTACCAGCCCACCGAGTATGAACATGCAGCCAACTGTGCCACCCATGCTGTGAGTTGCATTTTGGGGTGCTGAGAGGGGGCCCCTTTCAGGTGGAAGGGAAGGCAGTCCTTCACCCTTAGAGAGAGTCAACATCTCTATTCCATGGCGATGTCCCAAGTGACGACAAGTCCTCTGTGGCTCCTGGAAGAGTGAGTAGGATCTCAAGGGAAGGTCATTTGGGTACATTGGACTCCGGTGCTAAGCATGCCTCTTTTGCTCTATGAACCTTCAGTGGCTCCCTGGTAATCTGGACTTCATAGCAAGCTCCAAAGCAGGTCTTAGCTCCTTAGTTGGCCCACCTCCCACTGCCACACCCTTCCTCCCAGTTTCCAGCACTTGAATGCACTGTTTCCTGGGTAGAAGGTACACCTGCATGCCTTGGCACATGCCATTCCCTCTCTCTGGGATACTTGCCAACTCCACCTCAGTCTTGCCTAAGAAATCCTTTTCTGGGCAGTGTACCCTTCTGAGAATAATGAAAGATCTAGACCCATGTCCAGTTCAGTAGCCACTGGCCCCTTGTGGCAATTGCACACTTGGAATGCAGCTCGTCTGTTGGAGATATGCTGGGAGTGTGATATACACACCAACTTGGGAAGACTTAGCATGAAAAACAGGATGTAAAATATCTCCTTACTGTGTTTATGTTAATTACATGATATTTTGGGTATATTGGGTTGAGCAAAATACAGTATTAATTTCACCTATTTTTCCTTCTAAAACCGCAGCTACCAGAACATCCTAAATGACTGGTGTGACTCACATTACAGTTCCGTTGGATGCTGCTGTCATAGAACCTTCCTCCTGAAAAAGTGCTCCCAACACACAGAACTAGGCATGCTTTTAGAATTCCCCTGCCCCCAGTGCTTTGGAGAGTTCTAGACTCCTCAAGGGCAATGATGGAGAAACCAAGCTGTGAAGAGTGAAGGGTTTTTTAGGTGGGCGTGGTGGAGTGGGCTGTTTTCTTCAGAAGGCGCTAGCTTCGTGTGCAACCACACAAGTGTGAGGTGGTGTGAGGTGCCTGGGGACTGCGAGGCTGGGCTGTCAGCTGATACAGAAGTGGGGGCAGTGACTGGTGATGTTCCTTGAGGCAGGGAGCTTTGGTGTCTACCACAACCTTCTCTAGAGCCGTGCTGCCCAATATGGTAGCCTCTGGCTCCGTGGGGCTGCTGAAATGGAAACTAAAGTCAATTAAAATGAAATAAAATAAAAAATTCAGCACTTTACTGCATAGTCATGGCTCAGGTACTCAGTAGTCACAGGTGTCTAGGGGTTCCCATGTTGGACGGTGCAGGTCTAGGACTTTCCCACCATGGGGGGAGGTTCTGTTGAGTGGTGTGGGTCTAGAGAAGAGGGTGGACAGTGGGCTCTGGGAAGCTTAGGGACTCTGTACTTCCCTGGCCTGGAGGCTGGCCCTCTAGCACCTGTCTCTGTTCTGCTTCCAGCTCTGGATCATCCCCAGCATCCTCGGCAGCTCCAACCTCTACCTCCTGTCAGATGACGACTGGGAGACCATCTCTGCCTGGATCTATGGCCTTGGCCTCTGTGGGCTCTTCGTGGTGTCCACTGTGTTCCACACCATCTCCTGGAAGAAGAGCCACCTCAGGTGCCTCTGCCTAGCCCACGGAAGGGGTGTGTGCCAGGCAGGGTGACCAGGGCAGGAGGCATGCCTAGCTGGGCCAGGAGGGGTCCAGGGTGGGGACCTGTCTTTGTCTTGGCTGTCCGCAGGTGGGTCCCACCTGGGGAGACCATGTCACCTACATGAGCCTTGTTGGCTCACCTCTGAGAGGCCCAGAGAGTAAGCTCCCAGCTTCTGGTGTTGTTATGAGGGGCCTTTGGAACTGTCAGAACCATCAGAATGACTGCCCCCCTTCTGGGAAACACCCCTACCAATTCTAGGTCCTGTACAGATGTCACCCCTGGTCTTTCCAATAAATCTGTGGTGTAGCATTAGTCTCATATTTTTAAATTTTTGGTTTGCTTTTAATTTTTAAAAACACTGTGGTAAATACACATCGCATAAATTGACTATCTTTGCCAGGCCTAAGTGTCTAGTTCAGGGGCATTAAGCACATTCACATGGTTGTGGAAACACCATCATCATCTCCAGAACTTTATCTTCCTGAACTGAAGCTGTGTGCCCTTTGAACACTTGCTCCCTATCCTCTCGCCCAACCCACCATCCTACTTTCTCTCTGAGTCTGACTCCTCTTGGGAGCTCACACAAGGCAATCATAGAATATCTGTCCTTTTGTGACTGGCTTATTTATCCGGCATAGTATGTTGCTCACTCCACATGGTAGGTAGTAGGTCTCAGAACTTTCTTCCTTTTGAAGGCATTAAATAGACATATTCCATTGTGGGTACGTAGCACATGTTGCGCATCCATGCATCCATCAATGGATACTTGGGTTGCTTCCACCTTTTGTGGCTCGCTTCTTTCACTAAGCATGATGTTCCAGGGCTCGTCCATGTTGCAGCACATGGAATCCCCGTCTTGTGCATAATGACACTGAAATTTGGAAGGCCACAGACCGTGGGTCTTGCTCAAGATCACCGAGCTGGTCCTATCTGAGCCAGAGGTAATCCCAGGAATCCAGGGTCCCCCTAAATCCAGGGATGCCCTGTTCCATTGCAGCAGCTGCAGTGATACCTCTTCCCCAGATTCAGTGCCTCCCTCACCCCCAGAAACCCCATGACTCTGCTGTGTCCCCCCTTCCTGCTTCCCATTCTTGCTCTCCCCATGGGTCTTTCTTCTTCCCCACTGTAGGGATTTCTTGTGGCTGCCGTAACCAATTACCATGTACTGGGTGTCTAGAAATGACAGGATTTCTTCTCTTGTAATTTTGGAGGCCAGAAGGCCAAGATCATGGTGTCCATGGGGTCATCCTCCCTCCGAAGTCTCTAAGGAAGGATCTGGCCTCTTCTGGTTTCTGGCAACCCCAGCGTTCCTTGGATTATCCTCCAGGGTGCTTGTGTCTTCATGTGGCCTTCCTCCCTGTCTGTCTCTTTGTCCAAATCTCCCCCCCGCTTTTCTTATTAAGATAGCAGTCATTGTCATTGGGTTTAGTGTCCAGTTAACCAGTGGTGTGACTGTGCTGGCTGTTCCTGTCCTCATCTGTCACATGGTGAATGAAACTAACAGTACCTACCTTCTAGGTGGGATTAAAGAGCTAATGTTCTAAATTGCTTCGACTAGTGTTCTGGTCATGTCACATGCTCTATACATGCTAGCTGCGGTTGTCATTTTTATTTCTAGGAGGACATGCAGTTAAACCATACATAGGATCACTGGTCAGTCTTGTTGAGGGCTGAGGTTTCCTGGACAGAATCAGTTTATGTTAGTTATCTATTGCTGTATAATAAATTATGCTCAGTCACAGAGGTTTTCAATAATAGGAAACCTCGATTGCCTCTCAAAGCTTTGGAGAGCCAGGAATTCAGGGGCTTGACTGTGTGGTTCTGGTTCAGATCTCTTGTGTGGTCCAGATGCTGGCCCGGTGCTGCTTCCATCTGAAGGCTTGACTGGGGCTGCAGGAGGCTACTTTCAAGGTGGCTTCCTCACGTGGCTGGCAAATTGGTGCTGGATGTTTAGCAGGTGCTCAGTGATTCCCACATGGACATCTCCACAGACACATGGCTCCTTTCTCCCAAAGTTAGCATTCCAAGAGAACAAGGCAGAGGCTCTAATGTCTTTTCTGATCTGGCCTCAGAGATCACACACCATCATTTCTGCAGCCCTCTGTTGGTTACACATGTCATTTGTCTTATTCATCACAGGAGGCGCTACACATGGGTGTGAATACCAGAAAGTGGGGCTCTTTGGGCATCATTTTGGAGGCTGGCTACCACACAGGGCAGATATATTGAAGCCTACAATTTGCTATGCAATGCGAGGTCGCAACAAAAACATTAATGTTTATTGAGCACTTCCTGATATGCACTGTGCTAAGTACCAACTCACTTAATCCTCACAGTCATCCTGTGATAGGCTGGTATTCTAACCACTTGACAGAGCAGAGAGTTGAGGCCAACAGACAGATGATAAGGAGCTGGTTCAAGGTCATACAGTCCCTAAGTGGTAACACTGAGATTCGAACTCAGGCCTTCTGGCTCCAGATCTGGACCTGAACCAGAATACCAGGACCCAGAGGATCTTTGGGGGAGGGGGGCACATAGATAAGTTCATTGGTTTTTTTTTTAATTTTTATTTATTTATGATAGTCACACAGAGAGAGAGAGAGGCAGAGACACAGGCAGAGGGAGAAGCCGGCTCCATGCACCGGGAGCCCGATGTGGGATTCGATCCCGGGTCTCCAGGATCGCGCCCTGGGCCAAAGGCAGGCGCCAAATCGCTGCGCCACCCAGGGATCCCAAGTTCATTGGTTTTAATCACCAAATTATTTCATCATATGAAATCTTTTGAAAAGCCCAGCATATTAATCTGAAATGCAGAGATGCCTGGATGGCTCAGTGGTTGAGCATCTGCCTTCGGTTCAGGGCATGATCCCGGGGTCCCGGGATCGAGTCCCACGTCGGGCTCCCTGCATGGAACCTGCTTTTCTCTCTGCCTGTGTCTCTGCCTCTCTCTCTGTGTGTCTCTAATGAATAAATAAATAAAATCTTTAAGAAAAATAAATAAAAATAAAGCCAAAATGCAGAGTTGTACAGGTGTAGATGTCAGACATTCACCTTTCTGGGAGAAGGGGGTCTTTGAAGAAACCTACAGGGTGTCCCCATTCAACCTCCAGAGTGCTGGAGAGCCTGGTTTGAAAATCACTGTTCTGGGCACTCACAGATGGGGAGCCTGAAGCCTAGGGGTGGTGGCTGGACAGAGGCGAGTCAACCTCAGGCCCCTCCACACCTGCGGGGAGGCATGTTTGTCCCAGGGTGTGGCTCTGGGGCCCTAACCCTGACCCTACCCCTATGCCTTCTCTGCCCCAGGATGGTGGAGCACTGCTTGCACATGTTTGACCGAATGGTCATCTACTTCTTCATAGCGGCATCCTATGCACCCTGGTAAGTACCCCTGTGCTGTCCCTGGGAAGGGCTGGCTTCCTCTCTTCGAATTTCTTCTTATATTGGCTGGGTAATATGTTGATTCAGCACAGAATAGTGTAGGTAAGAACACACCCTCTGCCCATTCTCCTTTTAGAAGCAACTACTTATTACCAGTTTCTTGTGTATCTTTCCAAAGTTATTTTGTGCGAAAAGAGTGAAAGTGTGTGAACATAATATTGTCAATTTTTTGGTGTTCATACTTTTCCTATTTTTAATACAAAAGGAAGGATACCATTCAAACTGCAATTTAGTTTTGTTCTCTTAGTAATATCACTGAGGGCATGTCTCCATATCAGTGCATTGAAGATTTCCCCAGTCTTTTTATTTTTCTGCAGCAGCATAACATTTCCTGGCCATCCCCCGTTTATGGATATTTCTGGCATTGGGATGCTCTGACCCTTGGCTAGGAGAGGCTATGTTGCGGTGAAGGAAGCCCCTTGCTTGTGTATCATTTAGCACATGTGCGTGAATTTGTTGGCTCAAATAGTATGAAGTTGCTAAGAGGCAGCCTTTCCTGACCTCCAGAAATGGCAGCTTCATCTGGTTGGAGCCTGATCTTTGGGGGATAGATTAGAGACTTGATTTCTGGGTGGCAGAGAGTGGGCCTTTTATTTGGTTAAGTGTTGCCAGGTCACCATCGGTGTATCCGTTTTAAACTCCCCCAGCGGGATCCCTGGGTGGCGCAGCGGTTTGGCGCCTGCCTTTGGCCCAGGGCGCGATCCTGGAGACCCGGGATCGAATCCCACGTCGGGCTCCCGGTGCATGGAGCCTGCTTCTCCCTCTGCCTGTGTCTCTGCCTCTCTCTCTTTCTCTCTCTGTGACTATCATAAATAAATAAAAATTAAAAAAAAAAACTCCCCCAGCAAGTGACCTAGAGTTTTCCAACTTGATTTAGTAATAAATCCAGGAAGTTCTGGAATAAGGAAACACTCAGCTTCACACCACATTCTAAAAGCCTGGCGAGGGACCCCTGGGTGGCTCAGCAGTTGAACGTCTGCCTTTGGCTCAGGGCGTGAACCCAGAGTCCCAGGATCGAGTCCCACGTCGGGCTCCCTGCATGGAGCCTGCTTCTCCCTCTGCCTGTGTCTCTGCCTCTCTCTCTCTCTCTCTCTGTGTGTGTCTCTCATGAATAAAATAAAATCTCAAAAAAAAAAAAGAAAAAAGAAAAAAGAAAAAAAGCCTGGGGAGCCTGTAGAGCTGTTGGGCTCACATTTGGTGAATGTGTATTACGTGGCCGGGTGGTGCTGGGGGTCGGGACACCGAGGGTCTGGCCAGTGGAAGGGTGTCTGTGACAGGACAGTGGTGACATGGTAAGATGGGCATGTGTGCATGCAGCCATGGGAGCTCAGAGAAGGTGCTGCTGTGGTGTGGGGGCCTTGGGAGGGCTGCCTGGAGGAGGTGTGCTGCTCTGAGAAGCACGTGTGCTTCTGAAGAGTGAGGAACCACAGAAAGGTTTGTTCTGTTTTTGCCTAGGAAATTTCTATTTTTGGCTGTCATAAGTGGGGCCTTCTCTTTCACTGTATCTGCTAATAGATGGGTCTTTTTGTATATACAATGACTGTTGCTTTTTATTTTTATTTTTTATTTTTATTTATTTTTATTTATTTTTGACTATTGCTTTTTAAATACATTTAAGAGTGCTGGTAAGTGCCTTCAGCTCAGGTCATGATCCCAGGGTCCCAGAATCGAGCCCCACATCGGGCTCCCTGCTTAACGAGGAGCCTGCTTCTCCCTCTCTCTCTGCTACTCCCCCTGCTTGTGTTTTCTTGCTCTATCAAAAAATAAATAAAATCTTTTTTAAAAAGTAAATAAATGTTTCATGGAGGTGTGCTATACCTAGAGAGCATGCGCAGTCATAAGTGTACATCCCAGTGAATTTCTGCACACAGCAGCCAGCACCCAGATGAAGCAGAATGTGTCCAGCTGCCTCGTACTCCTTGTCCCCTCCCCTCAAGGTAGCCACAGTCCTGACACCTGTCATCAGATGATAGTTATGCCTGAGTTCTTATTTCATGTTAGTGGCATCCCGTTCTTTTGGATTTTGCTTCTTCCGCATAGCATATGTCTGGAGAGACCCATGAAGTCATCCATCCTCCCTGCTGGACGAGGTCCTGGTGACCATGCCTTGGGTGTCTGTGCTCCTGTGGCAGGTGTGGCATGGTGCCCACATCTCATACAAGGGTAGAGGTAAAGGGAGTATAGATGGGAGGCTGTTTGGTCTATCCTTAGGAGTGATGGGGCTTTGAAGCAGGATATTGAGGTGATTTTATTGTTTGGAGGCAGAAGGGTGGCTGCCTTGGGAGCAGGGAGGTGTGGGCAAGGCTGGCACAAGGACCTAGGGAAAAAGAGGTGGTAGCCCGGCCCCTAGGAGTGGCCAAGGCGGTTAAGAGGAGACAGGACAGATTGAAAAGACACTTGCAGGCAGCTGAGTAGAGTGACATATGGAAGGTGGGAGGAGGCAAGGGGGCCAGGGTTTCTTGGGCCAGCCTCCCCCTGAAACCAGCCATGCTGCTGTCTGCCTGCAAGATGCAGGCACATGCAAGCCCCATGCCTAGCTGGGCTTTGGGAGAAGAGGTGACTCGCTTCTATTCCCAAAACTGGTGTGCTTTTGGTCATCGATGCCAAGGGGGCAGGCATAAGTCTGGAGGTGTCTAGAATAAGCAAGGTCCTGGAGGTGTGGGTACGTGGGAAGCCACTGGAGCAGGCCAGGAGCAGCAGAGAGAAGCTAGGAGCCATAGGAGGGACCTCATTCCCTGTGGCCACTTGTGGTGGGTCCCACGTGTGCCCTAGGCACCACCTGCAGTTGGCAGGGGCCAGGTAATGTCAGGTTTCCCTTGGGACGTGACTGAATACAGTCAAGTTTTGGGCTCAGCTGCAGTAACTCTCTCTCTTTTTAAAGATTTTATTTATTTATTCATGAGAGACACAGACACAGAGAGAGGAAGAAGCAGTCTCCATGCAGGGAGCCCGATGTGGAACTTGATCCCGGATCCCAGGATCATGCCCTGGGCTGAAGGCAGATGCTCAAGCGCTGAGCCACCCAGGTGTCCCAGTAATTCTCTTTGACATGGATTTCTAGAACAATCCTCCGTCTGTCCTGCCTTCTGCTGATTTAATGCCTGGGTTTCTAGTCTTTATGCCTGGCTGCGGCTGGCTGGGCTTGGGCTCTCTGTCCCGTGCCGGTGTCTGAGGATGGCCCTCCTGATGGGACTTCGGGTCTCACAGGGAGCACAGATGTTGACCGTCCCGATACTGACACAGGAAATGAGTCACAGCTGTGGGAAGGGCTGTGAACGAGGGGGGCAGGAGATGTACCCTGGTTTATGAGCCGTTTTTAGGAGGAAGAATTGGCAAAACATGGGGGTTGACTGAATGTGGAGGAAACAGAGGAGCTTGGGGACCAGTTTCCTGGCTGGCTGGGAGCATGGGAAGAGGGGACACCATAGATCCTGTGGTGGATATTTTTCTTTGAATGGCTCTGGTTCTCACACCATTTTCTGCAGAACCCCCCAGGTTTCCAGAGGACCACGGAGGGGTGGGGGTGTGAATGACTGCAGGTTCCCCCATCCTTGCCTCAATCAGAAAACCTCATTTTTTTAAATGTTTGCTTCTGGTAGATTGGACTTACGTGTAAGATTCCTGCATACAATCTTTACTTAAAGAAAAGGTTATAAAAGATGCTTGAAATGCTTTGGCACCATAGAAAGAGAAGAGCAGAAATATTTATTTGAAGTTCAGCTCATGTTTTGTGGGGAAGGGGTGTTCATTTTTTTCTCTTAAAGTCAAGTTGAAATTCAGCATAGTATATATATATATATTTTTTTTTTTTTGAGATTTCCTTTATTTATTCATGAGAGACACAGGGAGAGAGAGAGAGAGGCAGAGACACAGGCAGAGGGAGAAGGAGGTGCTGCCGGAAGCCAGAAGGAGCCCAATGTGGGACTCGATTCCAGAACTCTGGGATCACGCCCTAAGCTAAAGGCAGATGCTCAACCGCAGAGCCACTCAGGCATCCCGAAATTCAGTGTAATGTTTTAGAAAGAAATATTACATGTGGTTCGATGCTCCCTCACCTCCATCCCAGCCTGTCCTCCTATCCCTTCCTCTGCCCACCCCCCTCCATCCCATTTTATACTTGTCCTCCTACCCATTGGCCAATTTTGCATCTGTTTGGAGAACTATTTAGAATGCTCTTTCCTGATGGTTTTTCTGGGTAATGAGTTGGTTATTATTGTTTATTTTTTACCTTTAAGTTATCCAGTATAAATTAACTTATTTATAATAACAATTGAACTCTGAGCCAGTTGCTTTTTGGGGGCAGGAGGGCAGACAGACTTTTTTTTTTTTTTTTGAGAGTGAGGAAGAGCAGGGTGAAGGGTAGAGGCAGAAGCAGACTCCCTGCTGAGCAGGGACTCCCAATGTGGGGCTTGATCCCAGGACTCCGGGATCATGACCTGAGCAGAAGGCAGATGCTTAACCAACTAAGCCACCCAGGTGCCCCCAGACAGACGTTTTATATAAAGTATTCTCATTCAAGAAAGCCACTTCAGGGGATGCCTGAGTGGCTCAGTGGTTGAACATCTGCCTTCAGCCGAGGGTGTGATCCTGGGGTTGGGATCAAGTCCCACATGGGGCTCCCTGCAGCGAGCCTGCTTCTCCCTCTGTCTGTGTCTGCCTCTCTCTGTGTGTCTCTCATGAATAAATAAAAACTTTTTAAAAAATTTTAAAAAAGAAAGCCACTCCTGAAAAAGAGCAAAAGGACCCTCCCCCCACAACCACTGCCATCATTAACAGTCCCTTTCTAGATGTAACTCCTGCTACCACTCAACAAAGGGCTCAGATTGGAGTTCTGCGCATTGACGTGTTTCTCTTCATATAATACAGTCCTGTTATGCTCTGCTCAATCCTGGCACACCTAATAATATGTCTTGTTGTATGCACCTAAGTACAGATTAGATTGTTTTCCTGTTTTCCAAGCTGCTATGACTATACCAGAGGACGGTGTGTTTGGCAGGGTGCAGTTGGAACACAGAAACCATACAGTGATTTGAACACCAAAAACTTGGTATAAAGGATTAATAATGGGAGATTGGAGTAGGGGAGAATTGATTCATGAGCATCAAAGGCAAATCTAGGGAAGCCAGTAGTGGTGGAGATAAGGGACAACTACCACCAGCCCCACCTTCACCCAGGGCAGAGCTCCTACCTCATTGGAAAGAGCCTGGTCTTTGCCCACGGGATGACAGAGCAGCTGCTGAGGGTTTGGTGGGGGTGTGGTGGCTTGCTGGAATTCACCCCTCTTTGGTGCTGGGAGAGGCCAGCCACGGGAGGTCCTGAGCTTCCCCACTTGTTCTGTGCCAGGGAAGCTGCTGGTTGCTGGGTGCTCCTGGAACTAGCAGCCAGAGACGCGCCTGCAGGAACCTTAGAGCATTTTGGTGCAATTCAGTTATGCAGACACTGCACAGGGTGGAGGCCAGGTGGCCTGCTGGACAGGAGTCCCTATGCAGGGGCCCCAGTGTGCAGGTGTGTGGGGCTGCAGAGAGGGTGCAGGAGCAGCCACCTGGCCTGGGGCACAGGCCTGCACTGTCCAGGACCTGAAGCTGTACCGCCGCTGCTGCCATCACCTAAGTCAACAGCAAGAGAACACGCCATGGCCAAATGCCAGAGAAAGCCACGTAGCTGCGGAGAAAAGCCTGCTCTGCAAACGTCATGGGAAAACTGCAGAAACCAGGGAGGAAGAGCCTTTCCTCCTGCAAAGTCTCTTCATTTTACTCCCCTGACAAAGCTCAGCATCGTGCCTCGGCTAAGGAGGGATGTGCAAGGCCCAGCTCCGTTACCTTGGGGCAGGCAGAAAGGGTGAGAGGCAGTTATTGATAACCAGCACAGATGGATGCCATCCCCTTCCCCTGCTGGTAGACAAGGGGTGTCTTCCGGCTTTCCCCGATGGACCCATGCCGTGATGAATGTCCTTTCCTGTGCCTCTGGGTGCGAGTACCAGACAGCCTTGACTTGGCTGACCCCCCGGGGCCAGAAGGACCGGGTCATGGGACATGCACACCTCGGGTTTGGTAGATTCAAGCAGATGGGGGGGCACCTGGGTGGCTCAGCAGTTAAGCGTCTGCCTTTGGCTCAGGTTGTGATCCTGGGGTCCTGGGATCGAGTCCCACGTCGGGCTCCCTGCATGGAGCCTGCTTCTCCCTCTGCTTGTGTCTCTGCCTCTCTCTGTGTATGTCTCTCATGAATAAATAAATAAAATCGAACTAGGGGTGGTGGAAGGGGAGGAGGGCGGGGGGTGGGGGTGAATGGGTGACGGGCACTGAGGGGGGCACTTGACAGGATGAGCACTGGGTGTTATTCTGTATGTTGGCAAATTGAACACCAATAAAAAATAAATTTATTATAAAAAATTAAATTAAAAAATGAATAAATAAATAAATAAATAAATAAAATCTTAAAAAAAAAAAAAAGAGTCTGCCAGATTGCCCTCAAAGAGGCTTCACACTCCCGTCCACTTGAGATGCTCTTTCTCTTCATACTCCGACAGTATCTGTTTTGGAAATTTCCCTCTAATCATTGCTTATTGTTCAGTGGGTTTCTCGGTCTCCCCACCTGGCTTTCCATGAGAGCCCACGTCCCTGCTGCGGGCCGCGGGTCACAGGGCTTCTCTGGGGTCAGTCTTCCTGTGAGGGGCTGGGTCCCAGCGGGCCCCCCTCAGGCTGTGCCCTTGGCTCTCTCCCAGGCTGAACCTTCGGGAGCTGGGGCCCTGGGCCTCCCACATGCGTTGGCTGGTCTGGATCATGGCCTCTGTGGGCACCATCTACGTCTTCTTCTTCCATGAGCGGTAAGCCAGGGCTGGGGGGTGGGGGGAGTGTCACGGGGTGGGGGCTGGGCCTCCTCTCTGCCCCTGGGGAGATGACAACCCAGGATGACCCCCTGAGGCATGAGGGTACAGCTCTGCCTAGCATCATGGGGTTCAGGCCCATATGACCAGGGCCACAGCCTTGTAGGGTGGATCTGAAGAGTGTTTTTAACAAAGGCCTTGTGGGTCATGTGTTACCCACCTTCCCTAAGCTGGGTGGTCAGGTGAGGGGGAGAGGTTGCGAATACCTTCACTTCAGTCCTGCAGAGTGAAAAAAGAAACAGAGCTATAGAAGCCAAAGGGAATAAGTGATCCCTGGAATCTCCAGGGACAGCAAATCAGTGTCAGTCGGTTGCAGCCACTCGGATGTATGGAGGGCGGCTGCCTGGGCCCAGCAGGAAAAGGTGCTAGGGTCACCTAGCAATGGCTGCCCCAGGCTCGAGTGTGGCATGCTGTACTCAGCAGTGGCAATACTGGCCTGTCATCTCATCGATGGAGACCCAAGTCCCAGAGGGAAGGAGATCCACCCAGGGCCACCCAGCTCTGCCAGCACCTGCTGGGTGTCAGTGGGTGAAGTCAGAGTCCAGGAGTGCTGGGCAGAGGGTGGAGTCCTTCTCACTCTTTTGGTTGGGGTGTCCCTCCTACCCAGAACGGGGAGCTGTACGCTGTTCCTCATGGGGAGGCTGTCCCGAGGCCCAGATGGCTTGTCTTCCTGCCAGGTACAAGCTTGTGGAGCTGCTCTGCTATGTCATCATGGGCTTCTTCCCTGCCCTGGTCATCCTCTCAATGGTAAGTCCTGCCTGCCCAGCAAGGGGACTCCCAGCTGGCTGGAGGGACCCAGCGTGCCTCTTGGGATCACTGAGTCCAACCCCCTCCTCTGGCACATGAGGAAACTGAGGCCTGACTCTGCCTAACCTCCAGCGAGCTGTGTGATCCTCCCCGCTTCAGCCCTCCTGTATGTTTAAGGATTGAATAGGAAAACCCGTGGGGGGGATTAGGATGGTACCTGGCACATAGTAATTACCCAGTCACTAAATTAAATCTGTGGTAATAACATTCCTGGCCATAGAGGCAGAGTCAGGGTTCTGGACTTCTGATTACCTGCTTTGGCGTCTGTATATCCTAAACTGCTTGTCCACACCAGAGACCAAGCCCAGAAGGGGCACCTTCCCTATATATAGTCTGAGCCCTTACTAAGTGCAGGAGGCCTACCCACAGGATCTTACTTCCTTGACCCAGGTGTCCCTGGAGAGGGACATGACGTCCCGTTCATGACATTCAGGCCAGCCCATGTGCATGTGCAGCCCCTAAGTGGCTGAGCCAGGATTTGCCCCCATAACATTGGTGACTAGGGTGGATCTCAGGTGTGCCCCCCCCCGCCCCCGCCCCCCCCCGCTGTGAGGGGCAGAGGCCAGGTGGGGGGGGGCAAGTGTGGAAACCACATCACCCCTCCCAGCCTCCACTGTCCTGTCAAGTGGGCACAGTAAACTCACCTGCCTGGCACCCCCCCTAGTTGATTTATCTTACACTCTTATTGGCAAGTGGTAAGATTATACATTGTCAAGTCTACCACGTGTTTCGTCTTTTTGAAAAATTTTATCTTCTTTATTTTTTTAACTCTAAGTGTTATGGTTAGGAAAGTCTTCCTTTCTTTCTTCCTTCCTATGGTTAGGAAAGTATTTTCTCCTGTTTCTGTTATGGATTTAAACTTCCCACCGTGGTTTCTCCTGGACATGGTGATTTGTCCCCAGACACCTAGCCAGTGATTTCAGTTACCTGCCATTTAAACATGTTCCTTTGACCACATGTTAAATTCACACATATATGTGTGAACACAATATTTCAGTTCTGTTTTGTCCAAGGGCCTGTCTCTATTCTGGCACTAAACTGAGTGAGCTAATGTAGCTTAATTACGTTTTATTTATTTATTTACAGATTTATTTATTTATTTGAGAGAGAGAGAGAGAGCACAAGGAGAGAGAGAGGCAGAGGGAGAAGCAGGCTCCCTATGGAGCAGGGAGCCCCATGTGGGGCTTGATCCCAGGACCCTGAGGTCATAACCTGAGCCAAAGGTGGACTCTTAACTGATTGAGCCACTCAGGCACCCCTATCTTTAAATTAAAAAAATTTTTGATGTATATTAAATATTGCATTATATAATTTATGACAAATATTTTTATGACAAATATTTTTAACATTAAAAATTTTTTAAACATCTAAATGTCTTTTTAAAAAATTAAAAATGTATGAAGTATAGTAGAATAAATATTACATTATATCATTTATATTAAATATTTTTAATTTTTAAAAATTTAAATTTATTTTAAAAATATTACAAATTCAACTAAATGTTACATTGTAATGTTTTGAAATCTTAAAACTATTTGTTTAAATTTACTTTTAAGTTTTTAAAAATTTGGGCACCTGGGTGGCTCAGTGGTTGAGTGTCTGCCTTTAGCTCAGGTCATGATCCTGGGGTCCTGGGATCCAGTCTTACATTAGGTTCCCCACAAGGAAACTGCTTCTCCCTCTGCCTATGTCTCTGCCTCTCTCTGTGTCTCTCATGAATAAATAAATAAATAAATTTTTAAAAGGTTCTTAAAAATTTTATTAAGTACATATTACATTATATATAGTAAATATTTTTTAAATTAAAATATCATTTAAATTTATGTTAAAATTTTTAAATTTTATTAATTACACTAAATAAATACTAAATTATACACTATCTGTCCAATCATGTATTACATATATTTAAGGACATATATATACTTATATATAGTAAGTGTATATTTAAATACATAATCACTGCAAAAAATAAGTCTGAACATGTGTGAAAGAGCCAAAGCCCCCTTTCACGTCCTCCCTAATACAATGCCCCAGCTGTAACCATCACTCAGTTTGTTGTATGTCCTTTTTATTTATTTATTTATATGCAAATCTACGTGGATATGCAGACATACTGAATTATTTGTTCTTCTACGAAAATAAGGTCACACGAAATGCGCTGCTCTGCAGCGTGTTTTCCTCACTTAGCAGGTGTCATGGGCGTATCCTCATGACAGTCAATTGGAGTAATGCCTGCCTCTTAAGGCAGTTGTGACGGTGGCACAAAGGCCCTCCATGCGGTGCCTTGCACCTAGCAAGGGCTAGGAGGCTCTAGATATTCCTAATGTTGTTACTGTGTAATTAATATGTGAGTACAATGCTCTGGAGGACTGAATGGATCAGTTAGTGTCCACAGGGACAATGAAATACTATGCAGCTGTTCAAAAGATGGAAATGTCTCCTGCCATGGGTTGCAGACTGGTCCCCCATAGACCAGTTAACCCAGTGTGGCATTGCAGCATGGTGGGGATGGTGTGAGTCCATCTATCTAGAATGATCATTTCCTATGCATCATTATGTACAAAGTGCATATGGCATGTTGCTCGTGGAGAGAACATTTCTGGAAGGATACTGTTAGCAGTGGCAGCTTGTAATTCATGTACAGGTGGACCCAGGAAGACAGGGGGTGGGGGATGGTGTGATGGCTCTCATCGGGTCTCTACCATTCCCTTTAACCACCAATTGCTCAGGTATTAATACTGCTCATCTCTGATGGCTAGGATGACTCCTTTTTTTTCTTAATATTTTTTGTTTGATTTCTCTAAAATTCTTTTCCCTGACATATATTCCTTTTTAAAAATTGTGATAAAGTATACATAAAAATTACAATTTTAACCATTTTCAGTATATAGTTGAGTGGCATGAAGCACATTCACGTTCTCATGCAGCTGTTACCACCAGCCATCTCCAGAACTTTCTCATCACCCCAAGCTGAATCTCTGTTCCCAGGAAACACTAACTCTCTGTTCCTCCTTCCCCAGCCCCTGGTAACCTCCATTCTATTTTCTGTCTCTATGGATTCAATGGACACCAGGGACCTTATCTGTGTGGGATCCTACAGTATCTGTCCTTTTGTCTCTGGCTCACTCCACTTAGCATCATGTCCTCCAGGTTCATCTATGTTGTAGCAGGTGCCAGATTTCCTTCCTTTTTAACTCTTGAGCAATAATTGCCCACAGTATGAAATAACACAAATAACAATTTGTTTATCCATTAATCCATCCCCAGACATGTGCCTTGCTTCCACATTTTGGCTGTTACAAACCTGGATATACCAGTATCTGTCCACATCCCTGCTTTCACTTCTTTTGGGTACACACCCAGATTGTATTAATTTTTAGAAAACATATGCTATAAAATAGTCTTTGAGATTTTGGTAGACATCAATAACATTTGAGAATTAATTTTGGGAAGAATTAATATGTGTCAAGACCTTCTACCCGGGAATCTGGGCTGGCTTCCCATCCATGTTTCTTTTTGTTTTGAGTATGTGGGCGGGGATTGTGGGGTGCTCCCAGCCTTGCTGGCTGCTCCTCTGACTTGTGCCCTACCTTTGTCCTTGCCGACAGCCCAACACCGAGGGCATCTGGGAGCTGATGACCGGAGGGGTCTTCTACTGCTTGGGCATGGTGTTCTTCAAGAGTGACGGGAGGATCCCCTTTGCTCACGCCATCTGGCATCTCTTTGTGGCATTTGGTGCTGGCACCCACTACTATGCCATCTGGAGGTACCTGTATCTGCCCAGCACTGTGCAGGCCAAGGTGTCCAAGTGAGGTGGCTCCAATGCATGGGACAGAGCATCATGAAAAGCATTTCTATGAACTTTGGTTCAGAGCAGTGCCCAGGCCCATCTGCATGTCCACGGGCAGAGTTTTCGATGGGTCCAAGGCTACTTCTGGTAGTAGCCAGAATGTCCTTAGGGTCCCAGGTGAGAAAGAAAGCATTTAGTCATTTTTACAGAGGATAAATTAACCCTGCAATGTGTTTCTATTCTAGGCAAGTATTTCCTAATACAACCAACATTAACATCTTCAGAAAAGGGAGAGACATTGTCCTGGCAAACTGGGGGACCTTGGGCCAATAGACACTCTTTAGGGTTCTCATAACTCTGTTAGGGAGTTGGTGGATTGTTTGTACCCCGCTGGCCAGGGCCTCCTCTGCTACCAAAGTCCTGGCTGGGGAATTGTGCCCTGTTCAGGGAAAGTCACCCAGCCTGTAGATCAGGGATGGTGAATATCCATGACCACAGCAGACATCACCAATCAAATGGAGCATGGTGCAGTATCAGTATTCTTCTCCAGGAGGTGCTCTGGGCAGCCATGACTTATCAACTCAGCACTTAGGATGGCCCTTCTTAGCCTTTCCTGTCTTCTGTGCTCTGCAGTGGGATCATGACCAGACCAGTTAGAAGTCTCCATGTAGGGGAGCATACTTATCTCCTGACACTATGCCTGAACTCCTTCTCCCTGTTGGGGACACTCCTGGAGTGGGGCAGTCTGGGGCAATGAAGGGAGACCTAGGCAGACAGCTCGAGGAACCCCTGGCCTTCGGCTACACCATAGCTGATTCTCAGTACAGAGGAAGAGTGGTTGGGGATTGGGAAGTGGTTAGTTGGCCAATTCCTCTGCTGAAAAATCCAGAGAAATGATCAGAGCCATTCCTTGGGGGGTGGGGGTGGGGAGGGGGGGGGCAAGCAGATCCCAGGAAATTGCTCACCTGCTCCAGATTTAGGGCTTGTGATGCCAACTTTCAGATTCTTGCTTGGTGCAAATCATGGCCCTTAGAGGCTCCTCAGATGAGCCCCAGAAGGAAGGCAGGCCTTGGCTAGTTTGATAGGGATCTGGGCAGAGTGTCCCCAGTGTTGGGATACCCCCACCTCTGAAGCTCCTAGTAGCCCAATGACAAGACTTCTGGGGACCTGTCCTCATAGTGTCCTCCCAGGGTTGGGCTGTCCACTCTGTACCTGGCACGTGGACATTTACTGGGGAGGGGATCCAGGCCTAGCTCCTGATCTGAGTGGGAATCTGGGAATCTCTGAATCAAGCATCTCTCAAGGTAGACAAGCCTCAGCCTACAGCTCCCAATCAGAGTTGGGTGAGCCAAGACAGGATGCCTTATGCTTAGTTCTAGTACATTCCAATGTATTTCAGGGTTCCAGCATCTGGAATCTCATGTACCAAAGCCAGTATTAAACCATCCGACACATTCCTCAGACAGGTGGGTTCTGAGCTGGCAGATGCTTTGGGGGTTGGGGATTTAGCTTTGTCCTCTTGCGCCTTGTGTGCATGCATGTGTGCATGCACTCCCAGCCCCTGGAAGCTGCCTTCATCTGGTCTGCCCACCCTCAGTTGGGGTCAGGGTTGAAAGTTGGGGGATGGGGAGAGGAAGCTTTGTGGGGGAGGGCCCCCTAGAGAAGGGCTTTGCCCACAGGCAGGGACACTGTGACAGTGGGGGAGGGGCTCTTGTTAGCTATGGGAAACCAGTCAGGGAATCTCTCAGACCACGGCACCAGCACCATGCCAAGCTGAGGTGAAAGTCCTGTCACTGAGGCACTGATGAAAACCAAAGCCCTGTTATAGGACCGGGCCTGGGTGGCCTGGGACAGGGACCTGGGTCTCCTTTAGTGACTCTGGAGCTCAGCTCCTTATGTGACACCTGCATCTCCTCCTGCCCCCTCCTCTTGGCTACTCAAGCTTGCATTTTCCCCAAGACAGCCTGCCCCTTTATGCCCCGCAACTTCTGAGATGCTGGTCCACCCATCTTGTTCCTACTCATCCTTCAAAGCTCTGCTCAGGCATTAGTGTCGAGGGACTTCTGACCTTCTCTGACTCAGGTGCTCCCGCCTGCTTCCCACCACCCTCTGTGCTTACCTGTGCCATGGCTAGAAGCTCTGTCCTTCATCATCCTGGTCCTTGCACCTGCCCCCCAACTCAGGAGCTCTTTAAGGGAGGAGCTATATTTTGCCGGACTTAACATAAAATCTGGCTTCTTCTGTTTGTGAGGGCCAATTCCTTAACCTTAGTGTCCTCAGCTATAAGCTGGGTATAGTAAGGTACCTTGCAAGGTTGCTTAAAGATGTGGTAGGATGACAAATGTGAAATACCCAGCCTGGTATTCTAATTAGCATCCTTAGTTGTCCACTTGGAAGCAACCTTTGATAATGAGATGACACTCTTCTAGGAGTGTCAGCTGCACTGCCCAAAGGAGTGAATTACGAATGGTAGGATTTCTGACTATGGACAGGCTGGTAAGGACACTGTTTTGTTGGCCTTGGCCACATTCCTTCCTTTTGCTCCAATTTAGGTGGTTTCCCATGAACCCTTTCTCTTCCTCAACATCATTTGTGAAAGTGAGTTTCCCAGCATTCCATTTCACCCAAACCCAGGCCCTGGCCTCCTCCAAAATGTGTTGGAGACAGTGCAGGAAAGGGAAAGATGTTCCTAGGCCAGTCCCTGCTGTGGGTAAGCATCCTGGTCTGTGCACTGGGCATGTGGGGTAGAGAAGGCAGGACACTGGGAATTCAAATGCCAGCTCCCTCTTCCTGGCCACCTTTGAGGCTGTCATGTGCCAGGATGATCCATCAAAGCGGCTGTCCTGCCCCAAGGAGCCAGGGAGGCGGTCTCCAGGCCTCTTTGATATTCTGGGCACTTCAGCAGCTGCTCCTGAGTTAGGCAGGCACTGTTGGGGCAGGGTGAGGGGTAGGAGCTGGCAAGAAGTGAGGATGAAGGCAGGTTCAGGAGGCTCCCACTGTGGCAGCTGCCTCCCACTGCTCAGCCAGGCTAGAGGACAGGCCTGGAGGTGACAACTTGCATCCTCCATCCATTGGCAATCATCAGGGCAAGCCAAAGCAGGTGCACTTGCTGGTGGAGGCCTGCCTGCCAGCTGGCAGGATTTCCCTGACCGGCCCTGAACAGAGCTTGCCGAGGGCTGTCCCTGGGGCCAATAGCCTCTCAGGCCAGGGGACTTTAAGCCAACATCACAGACCAGAGCTGCCTTTCTCTCTTGATTGGAAATTGCACATATGGTAGGAGCAGGGCTGAGCATCCTTCTCTCCATCAGCATCGGGCTCAGGCCGGGGACTATCCCAGGACAGAACCGGGCAGGGGTAGGTGCAGGATGGGAGTTGTCAATGGGACTAGGCTGAGGTCCTGAAACCATACTAGTGGTGGGTGGGGGCCTCACACAGTGGGATATTGTACAGGGCTTCCCGAGAATGTTGCAGTCCTGGGTTTTCGGTGCACCAAACTCTTTTCCGTATTCGTCTGCAAGAGCTGAAGTGCTCTGAATGTTTTCCCACAGCTCTGCTGAGCACCTGCATTTGAGTTCAGGCCTCTGTTGGGAAGCAGGTGTTGGGGAGAGCTAAGCTAAGAGGGGCAGGTAGAGCTCAGAGGTCTGGGAAATGAACCTGGTGACTTAGTCAAGACGGCACTCATCATCTTTGCCACCATACACTGTGCAAGCAGGTGCTGAAAGGTAGGCTCTGGGAACTGCATCATGGGGTCCTGAAAGAACCTGTGGCAGTCCCAGCAGCCAGGTCCACACGAGTACACTGACACATGAGTACACTCATAGGTATGGTGCACAGCAGGCGTGAGGAGAAGCAGGAAGCTTGGGAGGCAGAGGCTTATGGAAATGGTGCCCCTCCTGGGGGCCAGGCTTTGTGCTGTGGCTTCATAGATGCTCTGTCCATGGATTGACACAGTCCCCTCAGCGGGGTAAGGATTATTAGCTGATCTTACAGAGCAGGAAGGCAAAGCACAGAGAGGTTTGGCAACTTCCCCAAGGGGACCCAGGATCTAACCAGCAAAGCAAAGCTTTGAAGCCAGGACTATCTAACCTCCTGTTTCCAAGGACATCCACTGCCCCCAAGTCTGTCCGCCAGGGAAGAATGTGGGGCTGAACATTTTTAATGATTTTTTTTTTAAAGCACTGGTGTGTAGCATTTGCTGATTTCCATGGTGTAAATGCTCCTATGGCTGATTTCAAGCTACCAAGTGACATCACTGAAGATATCTTGGAAAGGGGTATGCATCTCTGGCCCTCCAAAGCTCGCACAGGCCCACCTGTGCCCCACTGCTTCCTGCCTGTGCTTCTCACTCAACTGGCCAGGGATGCCCAGGATGCTGAGTTGTGAGAACAGACCAGCTCTGAGGGGTCCCTGTGCAGGGCTAGGCCTGGCACTGAGCTGCTCGGACACTCCAGCTGCAGAGTCTGGAACCTGGAACCAATCAGACCTGCTCAGGGTCCAGCCCTACACAGACCAGCATGCAACCCTCCGCCATGTCCTTCATTCCCTCTGCCTCAGTCTCCTTATCTGTAAAATGGAGATGGCAGTCAGCACATGGAGCCTCTTTCTCTTGCCAAGTGAAGGGCAAAGGCCATTTTTGTGGAAGGAAGTCAGAACAGTGTTCTTGGCCCTAGGATTTGGCCAGGGAATCTCTGCAGAGGTTTGCTGAACCCCAGATCCCGGCTGCCACCCCCCTTGAATGGCTGAACCAATAGGTCAGGATGGCACTCTGGAGTCTGAACTCTGCCAGCTGGTTTGAACACCAGTTCTGGAAGCCCTCCTCTGGAGCCCATCTGCTTTGAGGCCATGCCCCACATGTTAGTGATGGGGTTATGGAGTCAGATTCCAGAAGACAGACTCATGTCCAGGAGTGGGGGCCCTAACCACAGTTCTTGCATTGAGCTGTCTCTTTCTCACTTAGTTTCCTAGATTCACAGCACTAATACCCCTTAGCAGCCTGTGTGTATACACAGGCCATCCCTGAAATTGGGCTCTGTCGCTAACGTTGCATAAGCTTTGTCCCAAGCCCTGTGATTTACATCATCTTTATAAGCACTCTATGAGGTAGGTATGATCCCATCTTACTGATTTGGAGACAGGCTCAGAGAGGTTAAGTAACTCATCCAAGGGCACCTAGCTTATAAATGGTGGCCATGGGCTCTCCCCAACTCCACTATGCTCCCTAAAACACTGACAAGTCAATTTTAGGGTTTCCAGCATGTGGGTGGGAGCAGTTGAAATGATGGTGGGCTTCATGTTTTTGCTTCAGCTGGTTCATGTGCTTTGAACGATTATACCAAAGGTGTGAGGCTTCATTCACTAGCCCTGTGTTCAGGCCAGTGTTGGAGACATTGGCAGAAGCTCCCACTCAGGCTTTCAAAAGATGCTTATTTGGGAGAATGTGTAGCCATATGGCTCCCAGTGGCAGGGTGGCTGGGAGGACGTTCTCTGGCCCCATGCTAATGCTTACCACAGGGACTGGATTCCCTGTAAAGAGCTCCAAGCCACAGGTCCCAACGGGACACCTGGCCTGTGCACAGGTGGCTGGCAGGAAACTGTGTATCCCAGACCCATCCTCTTTTATGATTGCTTTATTTGAGATGCAATGTGCAAGGCTGGGAGCCTGAACAGCATGGGCCTTGAATATGAGCCAGAAGGGGTGGGGCAGCTCAGTTTTGTACCCAGAGAGCAGGGATGAGAGCAGAGGAGCAACATGCCCAGGGCACAGAGCTGGGTAGAGCTGGAGCTGATGCCTTTCCCTCCCATGCCTCTTTTCTTT